ACTCTTTTTTAGGGACTACGATTCAATGCAGTTAGAAAAAGCACACATTCACGCTGGACAAATTCATGATCGTTTGATTTAGATTAGACGATCTATAGATAACTTAAATATTTTGTTATTTGATAAATAAACATGGTAGTAAATCTCAACTGTCAGATCTTAATCAAAGAGTTATAAATATTTTTTTTTTCATTCAACTTTACTTGCACTAATACTGACTAATTAACAAGGTTATTAAAAAAAGTCATCAGCATCATAATATTTTATGTTCCAATTAAAGGAAATAGAACAGAAACGTAAGCTAGAATACTTGATCGTTTATTCAAAAGACTGCTACAGCTTTTATAAAGCCTTACAATTTAAGTGTAACTGAAATAGAGAAAAATAAGGAAAACAGAATATAACAAACTGGAATAAATCAACTCCTAAAAACTAGCTTATTAAGACCTATTCTCTAGCTTTAACGGTAAACCCAACAAATTCCTCCCCTTAAACTGACACATGCTTAACGAGCATCAGTTTACTCCTTAGGTTGTTGAACACCAAGCAAACCTCTAAGTTTCACAAACTGATCCAACTTAATAGGTTTAGTCATGATGTCTGCCACTTGATCATCAGTTCCACAAAATGCTAACTTCACAGCTCCTTCACTTGATAAATTGCGTAGATAATGATATCTAACATCAATGTGTTTTGTCCTTCGATGCATCACTGGATTCTTGGATAGTTTAATTGCCGAACTGTTATCACACATTATGTGAATGCAATTACAGTCTTTGAAGCTTAACTCTTTCAAAATTCCTTTCAGCCAGACGCAATGACATGCGCAGGCAGTGGCAGCTACATACTCAGCCTCTGTAGATGAGAGAGTCACTATCCCTTGTTTTCTTGAACTCCAACAGATTGCTGCTCCATTTAGTAGAAATACATAGCCCGAAGTACTTTTTCTATCGTCCACATCTCGTGCGTAGTCGCTGTCTGTGTATCCCAGCAGATTCACATTTGTGCTTTTCTTGTAAAAAATTCCCAGTTCCAGTGTTCCTTTTAAGTACCTCAGTACCCGCTTTGCAATCGACATGTGTTCTTCTTTAGGTTCAGCCATATAACGAGAGATTAAGCATACCACAAACATTAAATCCGGACGCGTTACCGTTAGATACATTAAGCACCCTACTAGTTGTTTGTACAATATTGCATCAGCACCGTTGCTGCCTTCCTTTGACAAAACAGTACCAGGAACAATTGGATTCTTGACAGCATTACAACTCCACATATGGAACCTTTGCAAGACTTCCTTAGCATACTTCTTTTGGCACAAGTGAATTCCATCTTTACGCTGATAGATTTCAACTCCAAGAAAAAACTTCATTTTGCCCAAGTCTGTCATCTCGAACTCCTTCTGCATTGACAACTTGAACTCTATGCACATATGCTCATCATTTCCGGTATATATTAAATCGTCAACGTAAAGACTTACCGCCAATAGCTTGTTTCCATTTTTCTTCAAGAACAAGGTGTGATCATAGTTGCTTTTCTGAAACCCTTCCTTCTTAAAGTGACTCTCGATTCTGCTGAACCAAGCTCTTGGGGCTTGCTTTAAGCCATAGAGCGCCTTCTTTAGCCGATACACCTTATCTTCCTCTCCCTTTTTGATAAACCCTTCCGGTTGGTCGATGTATACCTCCTCCTTTAATTCTCCGTACAAAAAATCACTTTTAACGTCAAGTTGGTAGACACACCAACCACGCTGAGCTGCTACTGCCAGGAGAATTCTGATGGTATCCCAACGAGCCACCGGTGCATACACTTCATTGTAGTCTACTCCTGCTGTTTGTGAATACCCTTTGGCAACTAGTCTAGCTTTGCATTTGTCCACCTTACCTTCTTCATTCAATTTTGTTTTGTATACCCATTTAACACCAATTTTTTTTGCTTGATGTGGCAGTGACACAAGCTCCCAAGTCTGGTTTCTCTCTATAGCTTGAATTTCAAGCTTCATGGCCTCCTGCCATTTTTCTTCCTTCGCAGCTTCATCAAAACTTACTGGATCATCATGAGAGATATACAAGGCTAAGTTTTGTTCTGGTACCTCTTCTTCAGATAAGCCTTCACCGCTTTCATAATTACTCATCCAACTAGGCTTCCTTCTCTCTCTTCTTGTTCGTTCTTCAGGTGCTGACTCTTCAGTTTCTGGAAACTCCGTTGCACTGTCGTATTCAATTTCTTCAACATCCTCATCAGTATCTTCTGCTTCAGGTTCTTCTGTCACAACTTCATCTTCTCCCCATGCAAGAACATTCTGCTTTACGTCTGTTGCGTTCAAGTTCCAATCCCATTTACCGCCTTCTTCGAATATGACATCCCTACTTATAATTATCCTTTTTGTTACCGGATCATACAGCCGGTAAGCTTTAGATTCCTCACTGACCCCAAGCAAGATGCATTTGTGACTTCGATCGTCAAGTTTGACTCTTTTCTGTTCAGGGACATGTACATGTGCAATGGAGCCAAATACTCTGAAGTAGTCCACCTTTGGTTTTATTCCTGTCCACCTTTCTTCAGGTACCATATCTTTTACCGCCTTTGTAAAACTTCGATTCAAGACGTGAGCCGTCCATCTCGCTGCATCTGGCCATAGGGATCTCGACATCTCCTTCTCAGATAACAAACAGCGCACCATGTTCATGATGGTTCGATTCCTTCTTTCTGCCACTCCGTTTTGTTGTGGAGTGTATGCCGTTGTCAATTGTCGCCTTATGCCATGATCCTTGCAGAACTGGTTGAATTTATTTGACGTAAATTCTCCTCCCCTGTCAGTTCTTAGTCCGCATATGGAAGTCCTTGCTTCCTTTTCAACAAAGCTTTTGAAGGTTTTAAATGCCTCAAAGGATTCTGCTTTCTCTGCAAGAAAATAGATCCAAGTTTTCCGAGAGAAATCGTCTACAAACACTAACAAATACCTCTTACCACTGTGAGAGATTGGAGTGATTGGTCCACACAGATCTCCATGAATTAACTCCAATTTCTCTGATGCCCTCCAGCCACTTTTCTTCGGAAATTTCCCCCGCTGCTGCTTTCCCACATTGCATACCTTGCAAATCTTGGCTGCTTCTTTCAACTTTGGTAACCCTTTTACCATTTGTTTTTGCTGCATTATTTGGATGGACTTGTTATTTAAATGCCCATATCTCTTGTGCCAGAGATTCTCCAAGTCTTCTTCCTCCATCTTCAAACAACTGTCGGGCAGTGGTTTCATCTTTGCATAGACCACGAACATACGATTCATAGTCATTGGAGTGTCTACTATCAAACCTCTTTGATGATGATAGATTCTGCAAGTACCCTCTTTAATTATGATCACTAAGCGTTTCTCCTGTAGCTGTCCTATGCTTAATAGGTTGTTGCTGAGATTTGGAACATAATAGACGTCAGACACGGTTTGTGTGATTCCTTGTACTTCAAACCTGACGCTGCCTTTTCCTTGAACCGCCATCCTTGAGCTGTTACCCAATCTGACAGAATGCTTGAAGCTTTCGTCGAACTCAACAAACCAAGTTTTGTCTCCTGTCATATGGTTTGAACACCCAGAGTCGAGAAACCAAATACCTTTTCCTTCAGATTTACTGACTTCTGTGTGTGCCATTAAGAGGAGTTCTTCTTCCTCGTCGAACTCGGTATAATTGACTCCTTTTTCCAGACTTGAGCATTCAAATTGATAATGTCCTTGCTTTCCACATCGAAAGCAATTAATGGCTGACTTGTTAACGAAAGATCTACCTCTTCCTCGTCCTCTAAAGTTGCCGCCTCTGAAGTTACCGCTTCTAGAGTTGCCATTTCCTCTCTGATATATGCCTCTGCCTCTTCCTTGTACATTCCTTTGCTCATTCTCCACCTGTAGAACTTGTTCTTCACTTCTTTTCTCAATCACCTTTTGTTCATGTACAAGCAGAGATGCTTGCAATTCATCTACTGTCATATCATCAATGTCCTTGGACTCTTCGATGGAGCATACCACAAAGTTGAAGTTGTCCGTAAGACTTCGAAGTATTTTTTCAACAATTTTAACATCATTCATGTTTTCTCCACAGTTCCTCATTTCATTGGCAGTAGACATGACTCTTGCGAAGTACTCAGAAACACCTTCTCCCAATTTCATTTCTAGGGTTTCAAATGTTCTGCGAAGCCGTTGTAGCTGTGCACGCTTCACTCTAGCACTTCCCTGATACTTGACTTTCATTGAATCCCACAACTGTTTGGTTGTTTCCTTCTGGGTGATGGTTTTCAAGATGCTATTGTCTATGGACTGAAAAAGATAGTTCTTTGCTTTGAGATCTTTGAGTTTTGCTTCGTCGATTGCCTTCGCGCTTATGCCTTCGGTCCCCTTCAACTCTTCGAGCCCTGGTTCAATGACGCTCCAGTACTCCTTGGAGCGGAGGAGATTTTCCATAAGTAAGCTCCAGTGATCATAGTCACCATCGAACTTCGGAACGCATGGTGTTGAGAAACTTTCTGCTGCCATTTTTCATTTCTTCTGTGTTTTTCCTCTCAAATACTATTGCAGACTTTCCCTACTTCCTCTCAGTGTTTTTCCTCTCAAACACTCAATTTGTATATTACTATTATCAGGCCCTTTCGAGCTCTGATGCCAGATAAAGGAAATAGAACAGAAACGTAAGCTAGAATACTTGATCGTTTATTCAAAAGACTGCTACAGCTTTTATAAAGCCTTACAATTTAAGTGTAACTGAAATAGAGAAAAATAAGGAAAACAGAATATAACAAACTGGAATAAATCAACTCCTAAAAACTAGCTTATTAAGACCTATTCTCTAGCTTTAACGGTAAACCCAACACCAATAACTATAATGCGATTTTCGAATTTTTCATATAATAAACTAAGATTACATCACCATCACTTGATTGTATTTTTTAAAATATTGCATAGTCGGACGCCATAAATGTTACCGCAACTATAATTTCAAACCTTAGTAGTAACTAAATTACCTATGACTACAAAAATCCAAAAGCTTCTTCCTACCTTCAACAATTTCGTCAAAGAAATCATCAAGCTGACAAACAATATTATCAGCACCAGACTTAAGCACACCAAAACACATTCTAACACTCTCTACTTTCTCCCTCAAACCATCTTCCATTTCCCATTGAACAACCTGCGACGCGGTCATCTCCATTTCTCCACTCAGCGTCTCCACTGCCACCCTCGTCCTTCTAAACTCATACAACAACATCCCTGGCGCAACCTCGCTCATCTCCGCCACCACTCTCTGCTGCAACCTCGCAGCAGATATCATTAGCCCGGACCCAAGAAACAACCGACGGTCGAACCCTGTGACCGTGTTCAATGTCTCGGGACAATGGTACACCAAACCGTGTAACAGGAATGTGAGCAGCATGGAACTAATGTTTCTCATTGCGTATAAAACTCCCCTGAAACCGTTGAAACCATTTAGCTTTGATTCAACCGATACTCTTTCGTCGAAACGTAGAGAAAGTAGTTGGACTCTAGTTTCCATCAATGCACGGTTTTCTTCTTCCATTCCCATAGCTTCTGTTCTACACCCTGATATTCCCCTCAGAGCCTGAAAATTAAAACAGAGTCTTTAAAACATTGAATAGTTTCCAAAAGGGTGCATAGGAAATAAGAAAATAATGAAAATTTAACATGGGATGTGAATTTTTCAAAATGTTAGATACAATTCTAGTTATTAAATCCTTTCAGTTCAGTCTAGCCTAATTCTTATCGTTATAATGATCAAAAGTCTCAATTGACCAACGATTAAAATTAGACTAGACTAATATTTCTGAAGAGGACATAAATTTGGATTGTTATAGAGAAATGTTAGTATAATAGTTAATTAACCTGACGGCGGAGTTGTGGAGAGAGATGCGAGTGAGAGTCGAAAATCGAAGTGATATTAATACCACTTGAGTGGTAACTTTCAAAGCTAGAAATACCAGACTTGAGAAGGTGACATGTTTCCCAAAGTTTGGAGCTTTCATCCATGTATTCATCAAGCCATTTATCACCAACTGGGAGATGAAGTTTTTGAACCAAAAGTACTAGTTGGGTGTGAAAGGATCTAAGTATAGAGAGTACCCTTTGAAGGAATTGGATTGACATCAAGTTGTTTGAAAGAAAAGCTCTCTCTAAATCATCAATTCCTCTGCTTAAGAATGTGTAGAAACTGTTCACTGAGTTTGTGGAAGAAGGAAAAGGGTTCATTTTGTGTTTGGGAAGGGAATGGAAAAAGAAAGGAGGGAGATATTTAAATAGGCTAGAGAGAGTGGAATATGATTCTTTTATTTTTTTTTATTTTATTTTAGAGAGGAAATAGAAAGAGAAGGAAAAAAGTGGAAAAAGAATATTGAAAAAGAATATAAGTTTAAAATTTAAATACCAAAATATCACCACTTAAAAATAATTTTTAAAATGCCACACATTTAATAAGGGTTTGTCTAATGTGTGAGTTGTCAAATATTTTTCTTTTCTATAGGTTCATCCATCTATTGATTGAACCTTTGAAAAAATATATATATTTTTTTTATTTTGTGAAGAATAAAAGAAATTCTCCATGGACTCAGCTAATGAATGAACGAAAGCAAAATTTTTTTTACAGTTCGACCATTAATTGGACGAATCCATATTAAATATGTGATATTTTTAGAAAATTATTTTTAATTTATGGTATTTTAGTGTTTAAATTTCATATTTGTGACAGAATAATAAAAAAATGGAAATATGTTAGAAATTCTCACAAGTTTCTAAGGTTGAAAGAGATTGTTGAGGAAAATGATGGGTGTTTCCTATAGAGGGGAAAAGGGTGATTGGTAATATGTCATTTTCATTGTTTTTATTGGCATCAAAGAAGAGAGGAACGAAATTAAAAATATAGAGAATAGAAATTTTGAAGACATTTTTTTTATGGTAAAAGAAATATTGAAGACAATTATCCATAAGTATTTTGTTTTCAAAGTAAACATTAGTTAGAGGTGATAAATGGATATGCGTATTCTCTGTTTAAGTCTCGATAAATATTTGTAAAAAATAAAATAGAACAGGATAAATATAGTTAAAGGTACAGACTTAAAACTTTAATTCACCTGTAGTAAAAGTGAGGGCAAAACGAACTATATCTTTAAAAATTAACATATTTTAAAATTAAAAATACAAAATTCTATTAATGATCGTGTACATAAAAACTTGAAAAAAAATAAAATAAAAACAAACAAACACATTAAAAAATATGGACAAATCGGACATGTCATAGACATGTATGACATGTCATTCGTACAAACTAGGCATGTCATATTGATCAAATACATTTTCCACCATAATATTAGTAATTAATGTAGAGTTCAAATCATACTCACTTTATTAACATTGTCTTTCATATTTAAAGATTAAAATATTTATTTATTCTTAATCCGTTTTTTTTTTTTGCTATTATGTGAATGTGTGTTCTAATTGATTCAAATAACTTCCAAACCTAACCAAATTATTTTGCAATTAAATTATTAGGTTATAATATATATATATATATATATATATATATATATATATATATATATATATATATATATATATATATATATATATATATATATATATATATATATATATATATATATATATATAAATTTAAAATCAAACTAAATAATAAATAAATCAAATTAAAATTGAAATTGAATTGGACTAAAATTAAAAATGAAAAACGTCAAAAATAAGTTAAAACTTTTTATTAAAAAACATTTGAAAAAAGTATAATAGTTCAATTTTTTAATAAATAATTTAATTTGAAAAAAAACTGTGTTTTCATAATCTATACCTATATATAAAGGCAAAACATAAATTTGGTGTAGCCTTCTTTCTTTGCAAATATATTCTGATCTGACCTGATCAGAAGGGGATCACGATATGGCCACACGCTGCTGGACTGCTACCTGTTCACCGGTGATGAGAAGGAGGAGGGGGGTGTACCTGCAAGACACTCCGATGCCAAAGTAAGAAGTTGGGCAGAGTGGAAGCAAAAGTACAGAAAGGGGCAAGAAGAGAGTTACCTGACCCTCTTGAGGAAGAGGGTATTTATAGAGAGACCCCAGCGCTGGGCCAACGGTCATTTGAGCTGGACTGGATCACCAGGCCCAACCCTAATGACTGATAGGGCTTACGTGGCTTAGTGAAGACCAGGACGTGGTCTTCGCCTTAGTCCAACTGCTCCTAGATTTTCGGAAAGTGGGTTTAACCTGCTCTTTCGGAGGTGGGCAGTTGGTTGGTGACGTGTCACCGCGGAGGGGAGCACGTGGAGAACGTGCGTCGGGCACGTTGTTCTCCCCGCGGAGGGGAGCTCGGGAGGTTCCCCGGAGCGCGTTGTTCTCCCTGCGGAGGGGAGGAACTCAAGCCGCGCTTTGGTGGGCCGGGTTTGGTTTTGCTCGGCTGGTAAGATGGATGACGAGCTGCTGTTGGATGCGCTGCTCGTGTCCGAAGGCATTCTCTGCTCGTCTCGTGGGACGCACGTGCCCGGCGTATCCGATTCGCCTGTTGGGCCGCACGTGGTATTGGGCCTGCTGAGGTCGGGCCTGTTAGACTAAGGCACGGATCTAGAAGGGGGGGGTTGAATAGATCCTTTTTAAAAATTTGAGTGGCGCTACCAATAAAATTGGTTTTCAAAATTGTTTTCAAATGCGGAAGCGGCCTTGGAAAATATAGTCTAAAACGAACAACTATTGGAGAGCCGGATATGCGTCAAGCAGATGAATTTAAGACGATAACGGATAGTAAATCACTACACACTTTTATGCAAAACTCAGATGTGATTCACTCGTACTATTTCCTTATTCCAATGATCAAAAATTACACCAAAACTAGCAGCAAAATTAAGGCAATTTTAGTTCAGCACTTTTGTCGAACAGTTGGTGTGCACAAATACCTTAAATGATATTTGTGTTGAATGAGTGATTGAAAAAGCCTTAGTACAGTATTTCTATTGTACTTAGTAGTTAAAAAACAGTGTTTCACCAACTCACTCAATCAATACTACAATTTGACAAAATCACTTATTCTAGAATCACTTAATTTTTAAGCTGTAATTGAAAATGCAGAAAATAAAGGAACACAAGATTTGATGAGGCAGTTCCCCCAGTCGTCCTCGCGTTGGGGTACGTCTGCCCTCAATTCTACAATGAGAATTGAGATATGTATTGAATAGATATCACCTGTTTGGTAGAACAGTTATACACAAGAATCGATAGACAATTGATACAAACAATCTTAATGTTGCTGATAATTTCTACCACTTCTTGCCCCTTGATTCAAGATGAATCAAGTCCTCCAATTTGATGTGAATGACCTCCGATTGCAGCCACCTTATTGACAACTCTTCCGTTGATCAAACCTTCGGCACGGCTGATCTTAGACACACCCAAATTGAACCCGGAACGTCTTCAACCTTTCAACGCCCTAGCTACTAGATTGATCAACCTTCCGCTAATCAATCACCTTCGCACTCGCTTGATTGTTGAACCGACGATTCCGTAACAAAAGCCTTCAAAACCTGTAGTCTTGATAGGTAAAACCTCAAAGGTTTTCTCCCAAGAAACACCTGCACCAGCTTCCACTCGAACCGGATCTTCAATCACGCGTTCGAACCTTATCACCGTCGAGCAAACCACAAACCGCAGCAAAAAAAAATTGATTATCTGTAATTTGAGGATTTGTGAGTTGATTGAACGATGAAGATGAAGAACACTGATGCACCTCTTTCACGTTTCTTGACCTGAACACTTTCTCACAATGCTTTCAAAAATGTTCGTTGTTAAAATTGAAAAGACAGCTATTTATAGTAATATACAAAACAGACAGTTGACAGATCAATGAGACATAGCAGAATTTCTGTTTCTGCGCGCGAACGGTCGACCATAGGGTCGGCGTGCGCTGAGCCGTGTGACACTCAAACTGTCATGCGCCGAGTCAGCGGTCGACGCATGATCTTCATGCGCTGAGCCGTCTGATTCTTAAACCTGCATGCGCCAAGTTAACGGTCGACGCATGACCTTCATGCGCTGAGCCGTGTGAACTGAATGAAACTGTGTGCTGACGGTATGGTCGGCTCATGGTTCAAAAATCTGCAAAAACATAAATTTCTACAGCTTTTTGTGCATTACGTCATTGTAAAAATTGAATCATAAGTAGCGTGAATGATTTAAACGAAAGAAGGATATCTCTTAGCAAGTTGTCATCATCAAAAACCAGAGGCACGCTTGTGTTGGTAGATACTTTGCCTTCACATTCTCCCCCTTTTTGATGATGGCAACCTACTGTTACGCAACACGTGATAGGTATAGGTATGCTCCCCCTTTCTTTTACAATTATAGCGGTCGTAATCATCGTCTATCTACTGCTCGGTTCTCCCCCTTTGACAACATCAAAAAGAGGTAAACTCGTGACACAATAACAACACATTGAATCATGCATAAATGAGATACCAACAGATGAGAAGTAAACAACAGTTATACATACGATGGAGATAACAGTTAATAGATTACAGAACCACAAAAATGTCATGATAGCAACATAGAAGTAAGCAACAATCATAGTGAGTTTGGGCAGAAAAGCAAAACACAACAAACAAAATGAATGCAAGCCAAAACAGGAAACAACAAATGACATATGAGCGCATGCTAATAGCCCCGTCCACGTCCGCGACCACGACCACGCCTGTCATAGTAATGAGGATGGCGTTGGGGATGAGCTAGATCAGTAAATTCTTCTGTGATGTTATTCAAAAAGTCAAGACTGTCGACAATGGCGCGCTCTTCAGCTTGATGACAGTGAGTTAGAGTCTCGAATCGAGCGTCCAGCTGAGTCGACATTCCACTGATCCGTTCATTTTGGTTATGCAGTTCAGAACGAATTTGTGCCATTCTTTCATTTTGATCCCTCATGAATTTTTGCTGTTGTTCCTGCATATTGGTCATAAAATTTCGCTGTTCCAACTGCATCGACTGCATCATTTCTAAAATCTCCGAATTGTTTGACGGTTGTTGAGGAGAAGGTGGGTCTGCAGTGCTTGGTTGATACGGCTGATAGAATTTGCCAAGGGTGGTCCACCCGGTGTATTGCCATTCACCCCAGCCTTGGTTATTCTCCTCATCCTCATTTTCCTGTTGGTTTGAGTAGGCAGACCAGTTATTGTGTTGATTGTCATCTTGATATGTTTGTTGATA